GTGAGGTGATATCTCAATGTTGTTTTGATTTGCATTTCTTTTAGGGCTAGGGATGTTGAACATTTCTTCATGTGTCTATTGGCCATCCTTCTTTCTTCTTCAGATAAGTTTCTCTTTAAGTCTTTCACCCACTTATTTAAACAATAAAAATTTTTCTAAGTCTAATGATTGACTTTTTCTACCAGATTATTAAAAATATACAAATAATTATAAGCCTGTGTATATGGACAAATGAGGGGTACTATGTATGGATCATAGTAAAATAAGGGAGTTTAAAAGAACTACATAATAGTATTTATTTTTGTTTTTGCCTTCCATTAAAATTAAACTGAATAGATCTAAGATAGAGTGCTGTAAATGAGTTGCTGAATGTAATCTACTTAGGAACACTAACAAACTCCAAAAGCACGTAAGAATTATAAAAGTATTAAATGGCGTACCACAAAATATTTAAAGCAAAAGAAAGTGTAATATAGGAAAGAGGAAGAAAGTTATACAAAACATAAGGAAAACAAATTCCATTTCATATCAGTAAGTTAAAAAGAATAATGGAAAAACAGAGTATGTGAGAATGAGCAACAACAAAAAGTAGGATGATTCAACTATATGAGATCTAAATAAAAGGTATACTGTGGAATCAGAGACAAAATATTCAATATAAAAGTAGAGAAGATGATCCATCAGTTAACGATAAGAGCAAAAGAACTGAAGTGACCCTACTATCATTAGACCAAACAGATTTTCAGACAAAAATTGCTAACAGAAATAAACACATTCCAAAATGAAATAGATTTATTTACTTAATCAAGGCTGACAAAGTCAGAGTGCCAGTGTCTCATGCCTATGATATTAACTCCTAAGCAGGCTGAAGATTGTGGTTTGAAGCCAGACAAGAGAGGTAAGTTGATAGAATTTAAAGGAGAAATAGACAATTGAACAATAGTAGTTACACCATCAATAAAACAGAAGATTTTCAATTAATAAATTTGGTAGACCTAAGAGCAACAGGATGCACATTTAATATGGAATGTTTTTCAGGTTACATGAAAAAATAAGCCTGGATTATACCTCAAAAATGATTTCAGTATGATTTAAAAATCTGAATATTACCACCAAAAGCACAAACATAGGTGAATTTTTTTGTGTGAGACTGGAGAACTTAAGCCACTATAGGAAACATAACAGTTCAATTCAACCCCACCATTTAAACCTATCTTATAGAAAGGAAACTCAATGAGAAAGTAAAACAGTAACCCATATGATCTTTTCTAAAATATTAAAAAAATCTAAAATAGCCGGTGCTGGTGGCTCATGCCTGTAATCCTAGCTACTTAGGAGGCTCAGATCTGAGGATCACGGTTCAAAGCCCGCCCAGGCAGGAAAGACTGTGAGACTCCTATTTCTGATAAACTACCAGAAAACCAGAAGTTGTAGAGCACTCGCCTTGAGCTGAAGAGCTGAGGGACAGCGCTCAGGCCCAGAGTTCAAGCCCCATGACAAACAAAAAAAATCTAAAATAAATGACAGACTATTATAAATTAATATGAAAATGCATAAATCTAGTTAAATTTTAGGTATATAATTTGCACTGACATTTGTACAAAGAAGATAAACAAGTAGCCAAAAGGTACATCTAAGCATTAGGGACATTAAAATTAAAATTGCAATAAGATTCTTCTTCAGAGGCAGCAAGTTCGGTTCCAAAGCATCTCTGAGCCCGCCGATTAGAAACCATGAGCAAAGCTCGCCCTCCTGAGCTAAAAAAATTTATGGGCAAGAAGCTATCATTGAAATTAAATGGTGGCGACATGTCCAAGTAATATTGCGGGGATTTGATCCATTTATGAATCTGGTGATAGATGAATGTGTGGAGATGGCTACTAGTGGGCAACAGAACAATATTGGAATGGTGGTTATACGAGGAAATAGTATCATCATGTTAGAAGCCTTGGAACGAGTTTAATAATGACGGCTCATCAGAGAAATCTGCATCTCTTCTCCAAAGGGACTTCTTTATTGTACAAAATTTGGTCATATACATTTTTATATTTAAATTTTTTTTCAATAAACTTTTACAATAATAAAAAAAGATTTTTCTTCAAAGTGTCCTCTATATCTTTGTTGTACAAAATTAAAATGAAAGAATTTGACAAGTGTTGGCGAGTCCAACAGAACTAATAACCCATATATCTTGCTAATGGAAACAAAAACACTGATATAGTCACTTTTACAAACAGTTTGACTTTTGCTCAAAAATCTAAACATAATTTTATTAAGTGAAGTAAGCCAAGCCTAAAGAAACATAGGTCCCATGATTTCCCTTATTTGCAATATCTAGTATATGTATGAGTCAAGCAGAAAAGGTCAGATAAGGTGATGGTAGGAAAATGAACCCTAAGATATGTATTTTAAATCATGCATTTGTTTCTAACACAATTATAAGATTATTTCTTTGTTGCTTTGTATGTCCCTCCCCCACAGTATAACCCCTGCTTTCACTGTATTTGATGTCGGTATAATTTGTGGAGGGGAAGGGGAAAAACAAGTCATTTAAATAAGGATACAGGTGGACCTGTTGCAACAATGAGAAGTACAAGTTGTCATGTCAAAAACCAACTTTACAACTTGGGGGGGGGGGGAGGATTGGGTGGGGGAGGAGGGAGGATGGGAAGGGTAAACAAAGGAGGAGGCTACAATGCTTGATAAGAAATGTACTCACTATCTTGCCCATGTAATTGTAACCCCTCTGTACATTATTTTCACAATAAAAAAATCTAACCATAATAACCAGGGGTGCTGCCTCAAGTCTGTTATCTCTGGTTACTTGGGATATGGAGATTTGAGACTGTCAGCTCAAGCTAGACTGGGTTTGAAGAACTGTGAGATTTCACATTAACCAATGGCTGGGCACATTGGCATGTACCACTAATCCCAGCTACAGAAGAAGCAGAATGGCTAGCAGAGTGGCATATGACTGTTACTCCCATGGAGATACACAAGTAAGAGAGCCACAATTTAGGCTGTATCGGCATAAAGTGAGAACCTACCTCTAAAATAAAACAACTGGAGAAAGAAGGTAGAGGTGTAGTTCAAGTGACAGAGAATGAGTTTTAAAAGCATGAAGCCCTTTCTACAGTCCCTATATATATAAAGAGAAAAAATATATACATAGTTACTGTAATAACAATTCTAATCCAATGCTTATATCCAGGAGAATCAGAAAACACATTTACATAAAAATACATCACATTCATAACAACATTATCCATTATAACTGCAAAATACAACCACTAAAATGTATTTCCCAAAGAAACATAGGTCCCATGGTTTCCCTTATTTGCAATATCTAGTATATGTATGAGTCAAGCGGAAAAGGTCAGATAATGTGATGGGTGATGGTAGGAAAATGAACCCTAAGATATGTATTTTAAATGTTTTTTTTCTTTCATGCATTTGTTTCTAACACAATTATAAGATTATTTCTTTGTTGCTTTGTATGTCCCTCCCCCACAGTATAACCCCTGCTTTCACTGTATTTGATGTCGGTATAATTTGTGGAGGGGAAGGGGAAAAACAAGTCATTTAAATAAGGATACAGGTGGACCTGTTGCAACAATGAGAAGTACAAGTTGTCATGTCAAAAACCAACTTTACAACTTGGGGGGGGGGGGAGGATTGGGTGGGGGAGGAGGGAGGATGGGAAGGGTGAGGAGGCTGCAATGCTTGGTAAGAAATGTATGCATTATCCTGCCCATGTAATTGTAACCCCTCTGTACAGTATGTTCACAAATAATAAAGAAAGAAAGAAAGAAATGTACGCATTATCCTGCCCATGTAATTGTAACCCCTCTGTACAGTATGTTCACAAATAAAAAATAAAATAAACTAAAATGTATTTCAAGTGGTAAATGGGCAATTAGCATGTGCTATGGCCATATAATATGATTTTATTCATTCATTATAGTGAATAACTTATTAGTACATGCTAAAATGTGGATGAACTTTAAAGTAAAATTCAAACACAAAACAAATATTAACATCTATTGGCGGGTCCACAATACGGGAAAAATGTCAGAGACACAGTAGATTATCAATTATCAGGGACTAATTGTTAAGTTATTGCTAAAGTGTTTAGATTTTTTTGTGTGTGTGAGTGAGTCAATGAATCTGCTCTGTAATTATGTGTGGTGATGTTGGCAGAGATCTGTGACTTTATTAGAAATCATCACAATAAAGGGATTGATTTTGTGGTTAGTAATAAGGATAAAATCTCAATTATTATGTCAATTACTTAATACAAATATTCAAACCCTCTAATTGTTGTATATTTTACAACAGAAATAATAAAGGTTCAAAATGATGATAAAATGTCCTTCTGTACTCTAGAGTTATTCTTTTCATAGAAACAAAACCATATACCAAGTATATAAGTTCCTCAGCTATGTATGTCAATGTAGAAATTCTTACTTAATTTGAAGTAAAACCTGCAAAAAATACTAATATTAACTCAACGTCCATCTTCGCTGACACATGCTTTCTCAGACTTGCAGACATTTAAGTAAGGATCTACTATAATGAAATACATCTCAGACTGTAATTTTATCTGTTTTTCATTCAATTCCTAAAAGTCATATTGGGATCTACGTTCCAATAAATTTATATATTTAAACATTTTACTCTTATTATTTTAAAGGTGATGTACAGAGGGATTACAGTTACATAAGTCAGGTATTGAGTACATTTCTTTTTGAACAGTGTCACCCCAAGCTACTTAAGTATGGAGTTGGGAAGGGGATAAAATGGATGTGCAACACAATACCTGACTTAGATATCTTGAGAGACCTGTTAGTTGCTTATCAGTTACATGGTTCTACAAACAATGAACCTAAAGCAATTGGGGGAAACAGTTTCCTTTTTTTCAATTTCCTATGTTTAATTGTGCCAGCATACTTCTATATCTCATGGACTAATTACCTAAGATATAAATGTTCACTTCTAGAATGATACCCAAATTCAATTGTAACAATTCATAAAGCTGTGATTGTGACTCCAGTTACACATGAGTTTTTCCAAGGCTAGCTTCTTCTTCAAAGTTTTCTTGCTTCATTTGAAAACCTGTACCCCTTTCCCTTCAGTGAACACATGTCTGAACACTGTATTTTGTGGGTGTACTCTATTCCCAGAGACTCTCATTTTCTTAAACAAGGTAGATACCATTTTCAAAATTGAATTTGCAGAGTATTGCAATTCCAATTGCTTCTTCAACATATAACAATTCCTTCCCAGGATAGCATATTTCCATGAATCTTCCTCTTTCTGCTGCTTTTTAAAATACTTATGATTAAGACATAAAGAAATATGCTGCCAGGAGCCAGTAGCTCACACCTGTAATCCTAGCTACTCAGGAGGCTGAGATCTGTGGATCTCGGTTCAAAGCCAGCCCAGGCAAGAAAGTCCATGATACTCTTATCTCCAATAAACCAATAGAAACCCGAAAGTGGCACCATGGCCACCAGCGGCTCACGCCTGTAATCCTAGCTACTCAGGAGGCTGAGATCTGAGGATCACATTTCAAGCCAACCCAGGCAAGGAAAGTCCGTGAGACTCTTATCTCCAATAAACCACTAGAAAACTGGAAATGGAAATGTGGCTCAAGCGGTAGAGCGCTCGCCTTGAGCTGAAGAGCGTAGGGACAATGCCCAATCCCAGAGGTCAAGCCCCACGATGGACCAAAAAAAAATGATAAAAGCATTTCTGTGAAGTTGAGAAATGTAAGTGAGACACCACACTGTAAGTTCCCAGCTAAGTGTTCTGGCCTCTTGCTAACTCAGATACACTAACAAAACCATTACATGGTTAAGAGATATATGAATTAGTAAGTTTTCTCTTGATTCTCATTATCTGAAATATATTTCTTCATGGCAAGGGTACTACTAAGACTAAATAAGCACATAATTGAAAATATATCCTCCCTAGTTATCTTCTGTTAATTAATTATAAATAAAAATGTGTTAAATCCCTCCTAGGATGATTCTAGGGTCTAGGAAAGTTAATGTAATTGAAACACTGAATTCTTCTTTATGCACACAGGTAGTTTTCAGCTTATTGTGGGGAAAATGAATATGTAATAAATGTAATAAGTTCTCTGTGGAGTTACCCACAAAGAACAAATAAAGATTTTCCATTTTTTTCATGTGTTACTTAAAAATGTTGATGCATTTGTTTATATTAGTTATATAGGAGAGATTTTATTTTTATTGTTATTGTAGAGGTGATATACACAAGGGTTATATTTGCATGAATCAAGTAATGAGTCATGAGTACAATTCTTTTTGAACCATGACTCTCTTTCTATTTCTCTCTCTAAAAATCAAGAATGAGACAAGTATGCCCACTTTCTCCACTGCTTTTCAACATATTGATGGAATTCCTAGTTAAAGCAGTAAGGAAAGAGATACACATAAAGGGGATTCAAATAAGAAAAAGTAAAGTTATCCATCTTTGTGGATGACAGGACCCTGTGTTTAAAGAATCCTATAGATTCCTCAATCAAACCACTTGAGTTGATTTAAAACTTTGGCAAAGTAGCAGGATATAAAATCAACCCATAAAAATCAGTAGTCTTTCTGTATACCAACAATGAGAAGAGTGATGCTAAAATGAGGAAAGCAACTCCATTGAAATAGCCTCAAAAAAAGCCGAGGAATTAACTTACCCAAAGATCTGAAGGAAATCTATTGTGAAAACTTAAAAACTCTGAATAAAGAAATTGAAACAGACTTAAGGAAATAGGAAAATATGCAAAAAAGACAAAAACAGCAACAAAATAACTCCCATGCTTCTGATTGGGGAGAAATAATATTGTAAAAATGGTAATTCTGCCCAAAGAACTATATAAATTCTATATAATGCAATACCCATCAAAAATCCCTACAAATTTCAATTTTATTTATCTATTTACTATTTTAATATTTGCTGTATGAGTTTGAACTCAAGGTTTCAATCTTGCTAAG